GATTCTTCCTTTTATCTGATTAATTTAGTGTAAACTATTAATTTTTTTTTAGTTTCTACATTGTTCACTTCGGCCTAGCGGCAAGCTATCATGGAGATTGCAATTGAGATTGCGTTCTGTTATTCACTACGAAAAAAATTTACGTTACAAATACTTTACAAAATCTTAAAAATTTTAATTATAGGAAAAAGTTTGGTTGGTGATTGAAAATAGAATCTCCTACATTAATTTAACTTCGATAAATATATGTTTAAATGCTACCAACACTACGCTAGGATCGTTTATGGAACTTGCTAATGCTATTGCACTATTGGCTCCTAAGAACAGCATTAGTAGTGTTTGCGTCCATAGCGCGAATAGTATCTCCCCGAGAACGCATCCATAATGTCCTAGTTTCCACCGAGGGTTTAAACCAGATCAGAATGTTAGAACCAACTACAGTCGAGTATTTTCCTGCAGTCCAATGACAAGGGAATGCTCGACTGTAGTGTTGATTGATTCTTACATTCTGATCCAGTTTAAATCTTCGGTGGAAACATTATCCATATAATACGATTGATTACATACTTCTTCATTAATATGACACAGTAACAGAATGTTAATGATAATTACAACAAATATGAATGTAGATATTAATCAGTAGCCTACGATTTCGTTTCTTTTCTTTCTCTTATATCTCATTGAGCAGTAAACGCAGAAGCGGTTTCATTAAGTTTCAGCAAATCATAAGATTGTTTTACGACTATGTTAAAAATATTTTACTACTAAAGAAGTTCTAATGTTTATCAGTTTGTTATATACATTATTATATTTGCATTAAAATATTATTTTTATTATTACAAGTATTGTAATAACATTAAAATGATTTTATTAAAGTATGATTTCCGCGTGTTCCGCTTCTATTTATTAATGAGACATAAAGGATTTATGCTCGTATCATAGTCAGATCTTATATTTAAAGCTTCCTTAAATTTATCTTCAGATATTCTATGAATTATTTCATTAGCTATTTAGCACCTAAAGATAAATTTAAGCCTAAACTTAAGCCTAAGTACAAGGTTATGGTCAATATTCTGACTATGATCAACGCCATGCTACAAATGTTTTGAAGTTTTTTAATTTAAATAATTGGTCAGTTTATAAAATTCTTTCTTCTAATTGGTCCATCAAATGCTTCAAAGCATTTGTGACTTTGATCACTGCTATGAATATGGGTATTAGAAAAAGCGTAAGAAAGAAAACGGAATGGCTGTGATTCGTCGTGTTGATTCCGCATGTTCCGTCAATTTTCGCTCTATGGGACGGCACCCTCTCGCTGCGTTCGGAAACACTCACTGGTGTGCTACTAAACACCCAGCCATTCGGAAATATTCACAATAATATGTGTACTCGATGTGCACTAGTGTGAGATCGTTCGGAAACATCGAGAGAGTTACACCAAGTGCTATTAAATCCCATGCGAAAAGCAAGGGGAGTCGGTGTGAGTCGGTGTATTATGGTCGCAACACAGATTTCCATAACGCATAAGGGAATCGACCAATCGAAATTCGAAATTTGGAAGGAAAGACTTATATCCTTTTTTTTTATAATTATATATCGCCGTTGTTCTTCTTTACAATCATTCCACCGCCTTTCTTCACCGGTGAGTTGTTTAGCTCGAGGTTAAATGTGTGTAGGGTTAAACGTGAGTGGTGAAGTGGAATTGAGATGACACACACGTCACACGGAAGTCGTTCGGGAACACTCATCACTCAAAAGCACATGATATCTTCACTATTTCTCCACTGAATCACAGTGTACAGTAGCGCAACTCTCTGTCGGCACGTTTGATGTTAGTGAAGCCAAAATCGCGCGCATGCGCAAGTTAAGACATTACATACGGTAATGCCATCTAGACTTCTCTCTCATTTACTCTCTTAGAGTCTTAGTGTCGCACATATCTTCCGTAACAGTAACCATAAGATATACCGTAAGAATAAGCCAATCACAGAGAATTCTTAATTCTGATTGACTGATTCTTGCGTTATGTCTTATGTTACTGTTACAAAAGATGTGTGCGATAGCCCTTACTCTTTTATTCTGTCCGAATCATAGATCTTGTTTATAGTCCAAATAATATCTTTTTAAAGCGATTACAATGAGATTTGAAGACATTAAAAATTAAATCATAAAAAATTAACAAATCATAGTGGATTGTTGTCCTGACGATACGCCTTAAAATTTCATCATAAATGAAATCGCTGATTAATTTATTGAAACATTAAAGATATTTGATTATAAAAAAGTATAAAATTAAATTATATATATATATATAATTTATATGTATATACATTTATGTGTGTGTGTGTTTGTGTGTGTATGTGTCATGTGTGTATGCATATTTGTATATAAAGGGAGAATACAAATTTATGATAACAGAAAATGATGAGCTTTATTTTAATATGATAAAAAGTTTATGTATCTACGCATTTTTTTATTTTTTAAGTTGCTTTTATTAGATCATATTGTATCATACTCAATCTATGGTCTAG